TACAGGACAGAGCAGACCTGCCTCTGGATTCTGCTTGTGGGTTCAGACTCCAGAGCTGGCAGTTAGCTCAACACGCAACCCGTTAAGCCATCAGGCCCGTTGACGTCATTATATCTGGATATTGATAAAAATGGAGTAAAAGGGATCACAGAGCAGATGGAAACCTTGGTGCGGACCCAGCCTTTTGGTTTCCTGTCTCACTGTAAGCGAAAGTGCTAGAGTACGACCTGATTCTGATCCAGAGAAGGGACACAGTTCCAAATTTGATCATTAGAATGATTATCGGCCGCACGCATGTTAGAATGGCCCTCGACAGCATGCACCCATAACTCTCAGCATTTCTTTTCATAAGACTGGCTTACAGTCGTTTGTCCATGTTTATCTTCCCGATCAGAACGTAAGGCTCACAAACACAGAAACCCATCTGTCTGGTTCCCTGGAGGACCTTAAGCAAGCAGTGCATAGGAAGGCCTCCTGAAATAGTTTTCAAAAAACGGAATTTTCATCTGGTCTTCATTGTAATATCATTTTACATGTTTTATGAGGAGTATCCTAAATTTCATCTTATTGTATATGCATTTTTATTGTATTCCTCCATTTGTTCTTTCTCTTAATCATTTAACACTCTAAAAGTTCATAACCTATTTTTTTAAAAACCTCAAAGATCAGCAAATAAATAGCCACCATCAGGTTACAGCCCTCTCTCTCTCACTCTCACGGCATCATGTGAACTCCTACTCTCAGGTTACAGCCCTCTCTCTCTCTCTCACTCTCGCGGCATCATGTGAACTCCTACTCTCAGGAGAGGGTGGGATAACCGCCTCTGTGGATTTCCGGGACCTCAACTCTTTACAGGAGTAGAAAGCCCCATCCGTCTCCCGTGGAGTGACTGGTGGTTTAGAATGGCTGACCATGAGGTTAGCAGCCCAATGTATAACCACTATGACATCAGGGCTGTCCTGCAAAAGTGCACAGCAGTGTAATCACACGTGATAGTTAAAACGCCAATGCCACCACTACCATCGAGGTGGGTCTGACTCATGGCAACCCTACCTAGAGTTTCCAAGGATGCAAATCTTTATGGGAGCAGAAAGCCTCATTGTTCTCCTGCAGAGCAGCTGATGGATTTGAACAACTGACCTTGAGATTATCAGACCATTTACCCAACAGCGCAAGACTCCTTCATAAAAACAATGAGAATTATGTTTCACCTATCAAACCAGCAAATGTACAAATACAAGAGTACTACTCAGGTCCTCCTTTCTCCTTCCTAACAGAATCCCACTTTTTCTCATCAGCTATTCTACCGTATCCATACAGTCAGGTGACGTAGGAAAAGTTCATTTCATCCTCAGTTCCGGGTTTTGATTCCAAATAAACCAAAGATCCCAATGACACACAGTAAGATGACCAGTTATTGGTTCAAGAACCCAAACTTACGCTAAGGGCGAAATCTAGAGATAGGGTTAGATTTCTGCAGGAACATTTTTTTCTTTCCTTTTCTTTTTTCCCACAGGCCTGGGGGGCGGGGGGAGTAGGGAAGGGCTGCCCTGGAGGAAGTGCATGACCTAAAACAGACCACTCAGACAGAAAAGGGACTTTGTTCCGTCTTGGGAAGTATTTTCCTCTCCTCCTTCCCAGACGGAAGCAGAGAAGTGGCTGCCCCCGCTTGTGCTCCCAGGAACCCTGAGCCCTGCTGTGAGCTCCCTACAGGAAAATGGAGCTGGGACAGGGATGGTAGCCACCTGGAGGCTGCCCGGCTTCAGGAATTCCTGTCATGATGGCAAATAAAATGCATCCCTTGTTGTTTCTGCAAATTTGAGTTGGTTTATTTGTCACTTGCATCAAAAAGTATCCTACTTGATGCGACACAGGTTTTGTCCAAATGTGTATGGGTAAACGTTTATATGAATATTACTCAAAAGAGTAAGAGAGAAAATAATATGTTGTGTGTTAGGTACTAGCTAGTCCATTTTCCACTCATAGTGAAACTGTTAGATCTCTCTGGAACTAGATAGACCTCGGTCCTTGGCTCCGTGGGAGAAAGAATTCACGGCGAAGCCTGGTTTGTGATCCAAGTGAGTTTTATGAGAGTTAGAAGTTTTAGGTTTACACAGGCACCCATAGGACTCCTCTCGAACATGCAGCCTGCCTGGGAGCTGCTTGGTGTCACGCAAAAGTGTCCCAAAGTTCCTCCAAAGTTCTGCCAAAATTCTCTGCGCCAAAGTTCTCTCTCTGGACTCCAGGCTTCTGCCTTTTCAAGGATTCCACGGGGAGGCGTGGTGGACGACTCCTCATCGGCCCCATTGGCTGAATTGAATTCACCTGGCCTAGGTGGGCCAATTCAGATTCACTCCCACCCATGCCTACTGGCGGGAAACCTGAGCCTCTGGGCATGTGCAGTGGGCCGCTCCTTTGTTCCCATAGCTTGGCCCTCTGGGCACACATTAACGGACACTCCCCAGCCCTAAACTAGTCTACCTAACAAAACCAGGTGGCAGAATCCAACTGCCCAGAGGGCTTTTAAGGCTGTCACCTTCTTTACAAATCAGGATAGCACAGGAGGTAGACTGATGGAGCATAGAACCTGGGCTTTCGGCGTGGAAGGTAAAAATTCCACCACCGAACTACCACATCTTTCTGTTTTGACCTGCACAGCAAAGGAAATGGTACTGTGTGCCTGTGGATTTGTGGCATCTTTTCACCATCAGCACCACCCTTTTCACAGGCATGGGACAGGCCAAGGGATTCCGTTTGATTTTGTAGGCCAGTTGTACAGCTCCCATTTTGAATCCTGTTTGACACCTGTTTATAACGTGATGAAAGTTACAGACCTGTCCTGAGAATCAAACTCATTTGTCTACACAACTTCAGAGGCCTCCTGGCTCCTTGTCTATTAACAAAACCAACAACAGCAGCAATTTCCAGCCAATCAGAGGACTCACAGTGACCCTACAGAACAGAGGAGAATTACCCTTTTGTGTTTCTGAGACTTGAAATATCATTACAGAAGTAGTCAGACTCATCTTTCTCTCGAGGAGCCACTAGTGGATTCAAACCTCTGCTTTTGTGGTTAAGAGCTCAACGTGTAACCCACCACACCACCAGAGCTCCTGCTAAATATCCACGGGCCATAGGTTTAGGCCTCTGCTACAGAATGCTGAGCCACTGAACACTTTGAGAAAGGGAACGGCCTCTCACTTCAGCAGTATTGTGGAAAGTGGATTTGGAGGTGGATCGAGTGAGCCCGAGACTCAAGGAAGGAAACCACGTAGGAGGTCAACTGCAAAGGTTCTGTTCCAGATTCCGTGCTTCTGCTCTACCTCCGAGTTCATTGCACAGCACCTGGGGTTTTAAAGCTTGCAAGTAGCCATCCAAGGTCCCGGATAGGGAGAGCTAATGGAACGTGTGGCTAACTGCCGACATGAACAACTATCTCCATTTCCATCAGACCAGAAGAGCTGATTGGTACCCAGCTACCGTTACTAAGCATTTCGATCAAAGGTTCTATAAAAGAATCCTGATCAAGAGGGAGAAGTACAGAACCAAACAAACAGCACAACCTCAAACTCCGAGGACCACCTCAAATCTGCCCGCTGTTTGCAGAGGAGCATTATCATCACCCCAAGGGTGACAGGCCCCGTCTCCCAATACTAGACCCCTTAGGAGAGTTTCCAGAACTCCGGAAACTAAGAAGACTACAAAGACTGCCTCGCCAAGCCCTCAGTCTCTACGAAGGGTCTCATTCTCTCGAGCTGTCTCAGGATCTCCTGAGCCAGCAGCTAAAAGTCCCCAAGCACTCCCATGCCCCATCCAGTCTCAGTCACCCTTGACAAACTGGTCACCGAGGTACCGCTCAAAAAGGCTAGGAGCCCATCACTGGCAAGGAACTCAGATCAAGAAGGGGGGTGGGGGGTGAAGGATAAGAAGCAAGATGCACAAAACCCCATGAAAGAAAAGACTGTGCCTGCAGCTGTCATTCCTGAGCCATGGCCACCCATCCAGCCACACAGGGAGAGCCGGGGGCACAGGCCCAGCTCAAGGGGACTGAAAGGCAAGGTGAGGACCACCTGGCTGCCTTAGACAAGCACCTGCCTGGAAGGCCCCCCACCCCACCCCGGAAGGAAGGCGCAAGTGTCCCCACAGTGTTGGACAGGAGTATTCGTTACGGCGTGAATTTTATTTGGTTGGTACGCCAATTCAATTTCAACCTTGCTAAAATGGGTTTGAGCTTTAGACTGTAGCATTTGTTGTAATAATTGCTAGGTTGAGGTTCACTATGTTAAAAAAAAAAAGAGGGTGGGGAGATAGATTTACATTGCAAAAGGTGGCTAAGGTGTTTGAGTGACATTCTGTCATGCATAGCTGACATCAATTCATTTAAAGTGAAAAAAAATCCCCTGCCCCCCCCAAAGCAATCCCTCTGTGTGTGTGTGTGTGTGTGTGTGTCTGGGGGGGTGGGGGTGGGGAGTGTTAAATATGGTTGGTAGACTTCTGGTTCTTTTCATCAGTGTCCCTGGCTATTCCCAGAGGCTTTTTCTATTCCTTTTTTTTCTCTTCCTTTTTTTTCTTTTAAAGCTTTTCTCGGCTAAGTGTTAGCACCCCTCTAGGTTATCCTTCTGACTTTATGGTTTGGAAGCTTGCCCAGAAAGAAGACCACCGGGGAACAGCCCTGAAAGCATGGGTAACCATTTCATGCCACAATCTTTCCTGTTGCCCGCGGAGTCTCTGCTGAAGCGAGTCAGGACCTCAGCTGTGGGATGAGAAAACAAAGCCCTGTTATGTGTCGGGCATTGATGTGTAATACGCTGATTGTCTTCTGATGTTTTGGTTTTTATTCCCTCCTACTCCTCTTTTGTAAAGGCATTAATTAATCCCTGGAAGAATCCTTTGAGTTAAATAAACATTTGGTTTTTGAAATGTAAAAAAAAAGTGGGGGAAGTTCAGGAAAAAGTCCAGTTTTTCACGTGTGATGGATTGAATTTCTGTTTCTGTCACAGCAGCGGTCAATACCTAAGGCGAGGTGCGATCCGTCTTTCTGGAGCCCTGAAGAATGGATCAGCCTCCCAACGGTTGCCCTGAGGTAATCTTTAAATCTTAAACTTTCTGACAGAAAATTCCCAAAGTCTTCTTAAACATGAACATTAGTTCAGCTTCACCAGTAAATAGTGTTAGCCTTGAGCACTGTGCTATTTTTAGATTTATCTCTAAGAGATCAAAATGACCAAAGCAACTGAAAAGATGTGATCAGAACTTAGGAGACAATGAGTGTATGTTCATGGAGGAGGAATCAGTCCGAAAGACAGGCGAATGGTCGAACAATTAAAAGCATGTAAACAGGATCCCTGAATTGTGCCTGTAGGAGCTATTGACTCAGCATATGTTCTGCTGTGTGTACCCTCAACATAACAGCAAAACAAAATGTTTTTTTAAGTCTACAGGTCAAATAAAATGAACCCTGAGCTGAAGGTGCCCTGGTGGCACTGTGTGATAAGCATTACACTGCTACTGCAAAGTCACCAGTTCAAACCCACCAGTCACTCTGCGGGAGAAAGAGGAGGCTCTCTGATCTAGTAAAGCTGTACTGCCTTGAAAATCCTATCTAGGGTCTCTATGGGTGGGAATTGGGAAGGTGTCACTGGATTGGGTTTGGTTTGAAAGCAACGCAGCTACAGTGCAAAAGAAGAGGTTACAGAGAGTCCCGTTACCCTGGTGGCACTGTAGTTAAGCACTCAGCCACTAACTGAAAGGTCAGCCTTTAGGGCCCACCCACCACCCTGCCAGAGAAAAATGTGACAGTTTGCTACCAGATTTGCAGGCTGAGAAACTCCATGGGGCAGTTCTGCTCAGTCCTATAGGGTCACTACCAGTGAGAATGGGCTCTCTGGGACGTAATTGCTGTATATGGACAGTGTCCTTCAGAAGTGGGATTCAGCCAGTTTGCACAGTTTAGTAGAATCCATACCTAAGTTTTGGTTGAGTTTGGGGAACTGGTTGTTAAAGTTGCACTTGCAATTAGGGTTCTCTCGAAGGTGGGTGGCTGGGCAGCCGCCCTGTGTGGAAATCACACATTTACATTCCTTACTTTTTGTTATTGTTCATCTGGGCAACAACTTATGCTAATGTTCATTCTGCCCATGGGTATAAAAAATTAGATGAAACTATACTTATAATATTTATTTATTCATTCCATAAAACTTGTTATGCTTTTGATGAAATACATTTATTCCCATGTGTTTGTTGCTTCAGTAAACAAACATATAACATAAAAAGTGCCAACCAGAGAGTGATATGCTGTCATTCATTTCAGCTTTGTGGTACATCCAAAATTCCCACGAGATATTATGAGTGAAATATGCAATTCCTGAAAGTGTACAAAGAGCTAAAAGTGTTGTTAGAACAATTGCTGTAAATTCAGCAGAAGTGGAAAGGGGTTTGCAAAGATGAACATAGTACTTTCATAAAAGAGAAATTGCCTGTGTCTGATATATCAAACACAATGACTGCTGTCTAATTGACCTACCTACTGTAAAGGAATGGGATCCTACTCCCACAGTAAAAAAAAGGTTAAGGGTAAATCATGATACTCGGATACTCGGATAAAAGGGAATAATTTTGCTAGTGAGGATGCCATTCAAGACGCAATATGGAACTATCTTAAAAAACCATTTCTTGGTTTCCTAAGGTATTATTTAACATTTTTCTTTACTATTTTAAAGCTCTTACTATCTAGTTTTGTGTATCGCTTTTATTCTGAATTAAGTATTAACTACATGAAACAATAAATATCGCTTCTGATATACTTAAAGCGGTCATTAGAGCAGTGACTGGTTGTTACATTATTGGAATCCCACCCCTGGAGTCCTGCTGCCGCTTCTCTGACCGTGGATGGAGAGCTAGGCTCCCAGTAGAACAAGTTCTAACTCACTGCCATCAAGGGACCTCAACTCATAGTGACCCGATAGGTCTAGGCAGAACTGGCCCCGTGGGCTTCCAAGACCGTCATAACGCTTTACTGCCAAGAAGTGATATCAAACTGCTGACCTTTTGATTAGCAGCCCCAAGCATGACTCACTATGCCACCAGGGCACCCAGAATAAGCTGCACAGTATTGAGATCTTTACCATGCTATGTCCTCCCAAAGGTCAGACCCGTTGCCATGGAACTGATTCTAATTCACAGCAACTATGTACAGACGGAGCAGAAGGGCCTCACAGGGTTCCCAAGGCTCACATCCTGACAGGAATAGACTGTCATATTTTCTCCTCCCATGAAGTAGCTAGTGGGTTTGAACCATTGACCTTTCACTTAGCAACTGAGTGTTTTAACCACTGTGCCACCAAAGCTCCTTCCCACAAGCACAGCAACCCAGAATCTCCAGTGTGGCAAATGTTGATGATGTATATAGTATGATGCACTGAAAATAACACAGAATAAATTTATAAAATATTCTGGTCCTCGAAGTAGCCCCTGTAGTAAATCTCCTGTGTCAACTTTATTGGTGGGCTTTTTTTTTTAACTAGATTAGAAACAGTTTCTCAGAAGCATCCTTTATATTACAACGGAAATCTATTCTTTTGATATGTGAGCGGAAGTAACCACCTAAGAACAATCACTTTTAAAAGAACATAGAGTACTTCTGAAAAGATTCATTACTGCTGTGGAGTTCCTGCTTGCTTGCTTTCAAATTTTTCTTATCTTAGTGACGCACCAGCAAAATCTTCTAGCATTGGAAGGCTCTGTACTCTCGGAGATTGCCAAAGTTAGTCACAGACTTACTTTGCTAAGAGTGATTTGAAAGAACCTGCTGTGTACGTCTGAATTGGCAACATGTAGACCCTGAATCTTCTCGAATCGTGTTTGCTATGAATGGTACCTTATGGCTGGGAGTGGAATCGGGAGTAAAAGGGGACTGAGGGGTGTGTGGCCTTTACATGTTACTTTGTTCTATGTGCCTCTGTAATGTGTGTTTGGGTTTTAACAATAAGCTTGAATGCCTTTTACAATCACGATTTCACATGCATGAATAAATTCTAATTATTGGCCTCCATGTTTTGCATTGAGAAAGGGACTGACCCTGTGGTGAATGACACACCTTGAGGATAAAGATGTCATTTCCTTTGTTGGGGGGAGCTGGGGCAGCTCACTAGGTTAGACCAGGCTTTTCAACTTCCACCTTATTGGGATTTTAGGATGCATGGTTTTTTGTTGTGGAGGGTGGTCCTGGGCAATCTAGGATCTTTCGGAGTATCCTTGGCTTCTTCCTACTAGCTGCTTGCAGCACCCCACTGCACCCATGTGCCATCCACGCGACCACCCAGAATCTCCCTAGATGAATAGCTGGCCTCTGGGAGCCAAAGTCACTCCCAGCTATGAGCCACTGGATTAGACGTTTCAATGGCGCAGACGGAACATGATTCCTTGTCCTTGGGGGAGGGAGAGGAGAGTAATGCACTCTAAGTCTGAATGCAGGTGCTATAGGAAGTGTGTTCTGTTCTGTTACGTTTTTCCTTAGAAATATAAGTGCATTTTTAGAGCCACACTAGAGAAGAAGAAAAGCTGTAGATAAGAATCGTTGTCAGGAGAGAAAAAGATGTAAACAGAGTTGTCTGTCCCAGGATTAAAATCGATGACAGTTTGGGGATGTGTGCCCTGAGGCGTTGTGGGCTCCATATCTGAATGGCTTTGGTCTGCGCTAAGCTGCTACTGAGCCTACATGGGAACAACCTGCCCCAGGTTCATCAGGAATGGAAGCCAAGAACTGTGCGCTTGGGTCGGCAGACTCAACTTACCTCATGCCATGCAGTCGGTTCCACCTCATGGGGACTTTGTGCATTACCAAGTGGAACTGCCTCCTAGGGTTTTCTTGGCTGTAATCTTGCATTTTCTTCTATAGTACCACTGAGTGGATTTGAACTAGCAACTTCTTCTGTTAGCAGATGAGTGCAACCCAGGGACCTGACTTAACTTTACAAGCAAGCTAACAAGGACTGACGCCTTTAGTTTAGGTTGAGTAAACATTTCCAAGCCCCCTAATCAAACACACTACCATTAAGACAATTCCAGCTCACAGCAACTCTAATTAGTATTTCCGTGGCAAGAAATCCTTCTAGGAGCAGACAACCTCATCATTCTCCTGAGGACCTGGTGGTGGTTTGAATCACTGACCTTGAGGTTAGTAGTCCAACACTTACCCAACAATGCCACAGACAGAGATCCTACTCATATAGACAAGGAGAATTCCATTCTCTCAACAGCCAGCCTGGTAGGCATAAGATGGCACTATTAAATTAGGATAATTCATATGACCGTTTATATACAATGGGACTCTTTCAATGGTGTATTGGAGCTAGCTCATGACATCTTGCAAGGGTTGATTGTTCATGAAGGAAACCAGGCTTGCTGGTAGGACAGAGGCTGGTGTAACCCCTGAGACTATGATCCTTGGACACCCTTTGTAAACTCACCCCATAAGTCAATTTTCAGCCACATTGAACTCACCCCCGTGACTCAATTCTCGGCCAACAAGAAACAGGTCTATAGGGGAATAATAACACTATTTGGTGTTATGCACCTTTAAATAATTAACCATTTGGGGTCAGGGAATAGCATTCACCCAAGGACAAACTTCAAAGGGGTTAGGCAAGGGGAAGCACAGAGAGAGGAGACAAAGAGAGGAGGTAGGATGGTGAGGTTACATTGAAGGGAATGTACTGAATGAGACTAAACAGAATGCGTATGAATTGTTGGATGTAAAACTGATGATCTGTTCTGTAATCCTTTGCCCAATTCACAATACAATTTAAAGGGAAAAAAGTTGATTGCTAACCTTTCCTCCCAACTCTGTGTTGATGTTGGCAACTTTGAATAAGCCAGAATGGGAACATTTACTCCACACTAGGAACTAAAGGCTTTCCCTGCCTTCCTCCAAAACCATTTACCAACAAACCACTAGACTGTTTACAAAGGTGTAGCAGATGTGTAGGAATCCTGCAAGAACCCAGGATGAATAGTATCAGATTTGTAAAGGAAAGGGGGAGAGAGAGAGATTACCAAAATCCAGAAGATGGGAACCTTTAGGAG